CACCACTTGCAATTTGTATGCTTCTCTTTTTAAATAATTCATTATAGCCTTTGATTCTGTGAAAATTTTAGTTTCGAAAGTAATTTTTTTGTAAACATAATATGTATCTATAATATAATATATCTATAAGATGTATATTTATACGGTTATAGTATCCGTTTAAGTTCAACTGGAGTAATCGAATATTACCAAATGACTAAGCAAAGGTAGAGTTCGGAAATTGTTTTGAAGTATTTAGTTTGTGTCTTGCGATAAGTTTGAGATATCAGATTGGGTATCAGGTAATTCTTCAGATTGATGTTATAACCAGTTTTACGCCACGACTTGCAAGAGGCCACCAACGTAACAATAAGAGAAAGATTTGCTGAGATGCTTTGTTAAAAGACCTATGAAAATTTCTCAAAATTTTGGCATATATATGAGTTCGAAAATCTTTGCTATTTTTAAGACCCAAACTCCAACCATTGGACATCGTCAAAACTTAATCAGTACTTATATATTATGAACACTTACTATTCTCTGTTCACAAATTGTTGATAGCACGAAATATGCCTCAAAATCATCAAACGGTCGTAAAATTTGTATCATTATAGGCGTTCCTGTGGTATTTAGCAAAAAACAATTAAAACTTTCACGGCTAATGTTGGTTATTATATTATATTAATAAAAATAATAATTTAACCATTAACAATTTTGTAAATAAGAATACCTTATCTCTTTGGATATTTCAATACTAATCTTCGCGTTTAATCACTTTACTAGAAAACCTGGTATTTATATCCGAAGGTACTATCGGTTACAAGATAATTAGGATGGAATTCCCCAGATTTTTAATAATATAATGGGTATAGATGCCGGATTTGGCCACGTACCTCGTCTGTTTAGTTTTTATTCGAATCTAACTTAAAAGGGTGAAGTTATTACGAACGAAAACAATTTGTTTGTTTAGTACGTTTTTGATCGCATGTAATTTACGGCTCGTCGGTGTTTCCGCTTCTACGGCAGTAATTAGAGTCTCGAATATTTCTTTTGCGAATTATATGCAGTGCGTGAGTGATTTTTTATTTCATATACCTACGAACATATACGTACCTTTCGCTCGTGCTCGTTTTGTTGGATTGTTTGTGATGGCTTCATCATCAACATCATCAAGTTTTACACCGGTACTGTTGCGTACAGTCAGTAAGTTTGTCTATTCACCAAGAGAGAAGACTATTGTTCTGAATGTTCACGATGCTCTGGTTTCTCAGAATCCCACAAACACTGTTCGCAACATAGTCGAAAGTTGTGCCAACATGACTGGCGTAGGGGAGTCAACTATAATATAGGTTCCTATCAGAAAAAAAAACACGGTATAGCTAACCCAAACACAAACGAACACTTAATGAGAGAAAAAAAGCCTATTGAACTTGATGAATTTGCCAAAAATGGTATTCGAAGGAAAATTCATGGATTTTTTTTCAAAAAAAAATACCAAACCTAAATAAAATTTTACAAGAAGTTAGAGATGATCCGGATTTGCCTCATATCGGACGAACTAAATTGTGGCAAGTTTTAAAAGAATTAAATTTCAGGTGGAAGAAATCAGACCGAAAATCACTTTTGATTGACCGGGAGGAGATAATATGTTGGAGTAGAAATTATCTAAGATCCATACGAAAATTCCGGGCTGAAGGAAGGCCAATCTTCTACCAGGATGAATCGTGGGTAAACTTAGGTCATACTCTAAAAAAAATTTGGTCAAATAAAAATATATTAAGCTCCAGGCAAGCCTTTATGGAAGGTTGGTCTACTTTTATCTCCCTACCTTCTGGTAAAGGCAGTAGATTAATAATTTCTCACATTGGCAGTGAAAAAGGATTTGTTAAGCATGGTTTGTTGGAATTTTAGTCCAAAAGCACAAACACGAGGAGATGACAGCTGATATTTTCGAAGAGAATTTTGTGCAGATGATTGAACACATACCACCAAATTCAATTATAGTATTAGATAATGCACCTTATCATTCACGACAAGTAGAAAGACTTCCAACGACTGCGTGGAAAAAACAGGATATTCTTGACTGACTGCGGAATAAGTACCTGCCTTACGAAGATGGAATGGTAAAAGCAGAACTTTTAAAAATTGCCCGGCAACACAAATCTAAGTTCAAGAAATACGTAGTTGACAAAATGGCGGAAAGGAGAAACATCACAGTCCTTAGACTTCCACCCTACCACTGCGAAATAAATCCAATTGAACTCATTTGGGCACAAATGAAAAGTTATGTGGCTAGAAAAAATAGGTCATATAAAATACAAGCTCTACGTGAATTGTTATACGAGTCTTTACAACACATTACAAAACAAAACTGGAAAGATGCAGTAAGACATGTAATAGAAGAAGAACAAAAAATGTGGGATTTTGATAACATAATTGATGCGACCGTAGAGACACAACCGCTAATTATTAACCCTCAAGACGACTCGGATTCCGAAGTTGATCGATTTTTTTTTTAAATCCTGAGAAAACTAAGAAGCATTTTGGAAAAATTTAAAGGCAGAATAAATAAAAAGTTTCTTTTGCATGCAATATTTTTAAGTTTTCAGGGACTTTCTGCCCTCAGTAATAATGTAATCTTTTATTCTGCGTTTAAATTTTTAAAAAATATTTATTAGTTTTCTCCGGATTCGAAAATAATGGATACATTTATAACACATTGAAAATTTTGACAGGTGACATTTGGCGCCTTTCATTTTAATTATATAAATTTATCTTTTACAGATGGCAAGAAACTTTTTATTTTTGAATAAAATAAATAAGTTTTATTAAAACAAAATACAATTTAAAAAATATATTTATTTTGTTCAAATATGTTGAATTTGAATAGTTTTCTAATCGTAATTATATAAGGTAAGTAATAGTAGTTGTAATCGTAAAGTATTAAATGTCGCCTGTCAAAATGTTCAATGTGTTTTAAATGTATCCATTTTTTTTTCAAATTCTGAGAAAACTAAAAAGCCTTTTTGGAAAAATTTAAAGGCAGAATAAAATATTTATGAGAATAAATAAAAAGTTTATTTTGCATGCAATATTTTTAATTAAAAATTATACTATATTCTCTCTTTTATTTTCACCCCTGCTGCATAACATAATAAAATAAACATTGTAAAAGTTTTCAGGAACTTGCTGTAATATACATCAGTATACACATATATAATACCCTCAGTAATAATGTAATATTTCATTCTGCTTTTAAATTTTTCAAAAATATTTAATAGTTTTCTCCGAATTAGAAAATAATGGATACATTTAAAACACATTTGGTGCCTTTCCCCTTAATTAAATAAATGTATCTTTTACAAATGGCAAAAAACTTTTTATTTTTGAATAAAATATTTTATTTTATTATAAGTTTTATTAAAACAAAAGTACAATTTAAAAAATATATTTATTTAGTTCAAATAAATGTTTCAATTATATACTCTACGACACTGGTCGGCCAAAATACGTTCCTAATCGGATTATAAGCTTGACCGCTGTATTGTATTCCGGCAGATACAAGGTGGGTTAGTCGAAAACATCTTAAATAGTCAGTTTCAGGTTGGTTTTACTATTATATCGTATTACCTATCCTCTCTGTATTTCAGTTCTCTAATTAGGATTAAACTTGTAGTGAGCTGTCAACAAATTGTGAACCAAGTATAGGTAGTAACAATACAGTTTAAAAACACACTAACCAAAGCTGTTCTCATTAAACGTGAAGTCAGACAGGGCTGCGTGCTGAGCCCTATACTATCTAACATATTCTGAGATTGTATTCCAAAACACACTTGAAGACTTATAAAATGGCATTAAAGTGAATAGTAAATTAATAAATAATTAAAGATATGCCAATGATACAATTATAATAGCAGAACCTCCTGAAGACTTATAGCGCCTGCTTGATAATACGGAGGAGATCTATTGGACCCAACACTCAACACCGCAAAATCGAAGATATTAGTAATAAACCAGAATACAACACTTCCAGTGTCCCACTTGGATTTGTGAAAATCTAAATCATGACTTAAAAATCCGAGCCTAACAAATTTTTAAAAATGTGAAGCATTTGTGCGATAGGTCCCTCGATGTGCAAATAAGATAAAATTTTTTGTAGTGCAAGTACAGCAAGTGCTATATATATATTTTACACTATTATATAAGTTTAAGCGTGAACTCTAACAGTTGCCAGTTTGGACAGACTTAAAACATTTGAAACTTGGTTATATGTATATACGAATTTTAAGAAATACCGTGGATTTGTCACACCAGCAACTTGCAACTTTTCCACCAAATCAGCAGAGAATATGAGCTCGTTAAAATCATACAAAAGCGGAAAGCTTCATACCACGGATATGTTATGAGAAAACAATAGATACAATTTTCCACAGCTTGTAATGGACTGTCCGGGTAAGATTGTGGGCAAACATAGACTAGGACTAGTATGGGCTCAATTTGCTAAAAAAGACCCAAAACAGAAAAGAACTTGCCAACATTGTTACTGATCTTCGATAGGAGAAGGAACTTGAAAAAGGAAAGATCTACTAAATTGTGCAAATATTTCTGTTAATTCTAATCTTACACATACGTATTTCTCTTAGGTATTTTAAAGAAATAGTCAAAACTTATATTTAAAATATTGAGATGTATAATACTAATATACTTTCTTTGCTTATTAGAAATCAAGAAGGGAGGGAAGAAAGGCATAAAATTTTAATTCCATATTGGAGACCAGTCTATACTAATATTTTTAGTTTTAGCATGTTTAAGAATCTACTCTTTCGTTTCTACAAATCGATAGATGACCGAAAGTTAAAGTTAAGCGGTCTGTTTGACGACCGTTAAACTAAAAAACGCCAAATTTCTTACAATCCACCTCTCTGTGTTGGAAAAGTATAATTCTTCTATTTAACTCAAATACCAAGTGCATCACTGGTAATACATTTTATTTAATAAAACACATTTAAAAAGTAGTAATATTACATTTTACTTTCAAATACAGATACATGTTTTTCAGATTTTTGTGGTATATTACAAAAAGCAAAACAATCCAATGGAGTAGTTTCTGCATCTTGAAGCGTTTGAGGAAGATGCTGGTTAAGAGTTTCCGGTAAGAGTAACGAAGAAGTTCCTCCCATTATTAGCATGGTCCCCATTATTATTAAAGGCAATATAAGAATATCGGAACCCTAAAAATTTGTTAAGAAGAATAATAAACAAAAGTACTAAACTTAGAAGTATAATATGTATATATATTAAGGCTTATCCTCGAAAATGCTAACGGTAAATTTCAGTTTGCTATCTCTATTTCAAAAAGTTCTTTCTTTACAAAAACAAATCTGTCATGAAGTAATATTCTAAACTTCGTATCTCTTTCAAGCCCAGGTCAAAAATGCGTTTACATTTTACTCGAGCCGATTATTCACCGAGACAACCCCTGCAGTGACAGGTTTTGGCTTACAATAAAATCATGAATCTCTTTAGTGGTGTTTTGAGTAAATATAATAACAGATCAAAGTAATATAATCTATTCATAAATTTACAATGTAACAAATGTACAGTTGCGGTCACGGAATAGTTTACAGGTTCACGTATCTAGGAGCCCATTTTTTAAATTTTTACTTCGTTTAAACGCACCTTTTACGTCAAAGTGACGTTGCCAGTGGTGAACTAGCTAGAATAGGTAGATTAAAATTAAAATATCAAAATATTTTACAAAATGAAAAATATAGAAAACAGTTTTTTGAATAAAATGGATTATGATCTTAATAACGAAAATAAAGAAGTCTTTTTTTAATATGCATTTTATTTTAAATCTATTTTATATTAAATAACGATAAACAATGATAAATAATAATTAATATTTGATGGAAGCCCTATTCTTGTCAATACAATTTTGCAGTCTTCTGTTCATAGATAGCACCAATCCCCTCATGTTATAGTTAACAAGCTCTTTCCATGCCTGCTCAATTGCTTCCCATAATTCAATTCTATTCCGTGGTCTAAGGTTTCTTTCATTTAGTTTCTTTGTTAACTCTGCCCACACATTTTCGACGGGTTAAAGTCTGCACTACGGGAAGGCCACGGAAGAACATTAACATCAGTTTCTTCTAGCCATTCTCGAACAATTCTACTCGTATGCACCGGGCAATTGTCATGTTGGAAGATAAAGTCGTTGTTGGGGAATCTCTGGATCACCGATGGCAACATTGTGTGCTCAATAATATGTTTGTAATATAATCTTGTTAACTTCTCCTCTACATGATAACAAACGCCCGGGCCTTCGGCACTTATCCATCCCCATACGTTGACAGAGAATCCTCCACTATTTCTTAAATGATGCGTATACTGTTCATCATACCTATGATTTCTCGGCCTATAAACTCTTATTCGACCAGTATTATACGACTGAAATACTTTTTCATCGGAAAATACAACCCTAGACCAAAAATTCTCATCGCGGTTTATAAATTCATTACAAAATTCAACTCGTCTCCTCTTGTGATCCTCAGTTAAAAAAGGTTTCCGTGCAGCTACACAATTTAGCAGTCAACTTGCTTTAATTCTTCGACGTGCAGTGCGAATACTGCCTGGAAACGCTGCCTCTTCTCTTGCCTTTTGAGCTGTGGCAAAAGGAGATTCTCTCAAATAATCTACTAACATCTCATCCTGTTGATCTGTGGAAATCTTCTGCCCTCCTGAACCGCCCAACCGTGCTATAGAGTGAAAATTATCCCATCTTTGTTTAATCTTCCATATGCACATATGACTCACGTTCAAATCAGCAGCAACTTGCCTTAGTGACCAACCTTCTTCGAGTTTGGCAATTGCTCTTGCTTTTTGCGCATAATTCAAATGTATTCTAACCATTTTGGAAGAGTTTAATATACTTTTATTTTATTGTTGAACACTCGCGAAAGCATTGACGTTTTGAAATTTTTGACTTTGACATTTATCAAATCCGTACGACACTGCAATTTTACAGTATTACAATATAAAAAGTAAGGTGTAAACTATTCCGTGACCGCAACTGTACATACATAATTTATTTGTTATTTTTTTTATGGAAAAATTGGCTGTCTGCAGTTTAACGTAGATTAAAGTTTACGGAAAATAAAAATTTGATTAGTATCACGATCATTAAAATTGATAGAATGAAACGATATAAATATAGAATTATGTCTAATGTTTCTTCAGAAGGTGTTTCAAATAAAAATTATAATAAAAATCTTATCTAATTAGTATCACGATCATTAAAATTGATAAAATGAAAATATATAAATATAGAATTATGTCTAATGTTCCTTCAGAAGGCATTTCAAATAAAAATTATAATAAAAATCTTGAAATTTTTGTAGCATATTTTCCCACAGTTCCATATATTTATCAATCTTTTTGAATAAAATATTTTTTGGGGTCCGTACCGCAAACTAACAGTATTCTCTATTCGATATAAATAACAGAATAACTGTCCTTGCACTGAATAGTAATAGAAATCAGTTCTTTTTAAAATTTCTTGAAGCAAGGAATAATTTAATTACGCTATCATTTCCAATTTTGATTTTTGATATTGAATTTGATAGGTTGTGATTTATTACACCAAAATCTAATGAAATATACCATGACACAAGAAATAGTTTCAGTATAAGTTTGATGTGTTGTTTATTATCATTCAGTAAGAGACTAATTTACTTCTTACAATGCTAATCTAACAGACAATTATTATTGTCAAATGAAAGAAATAAGATAATTTACTTGTGTGCTTGTGGTTAGTAAACGTCGGCCCTATGCAACTAATTGTCAATAAACAACGGAGCACAAAAGTTTAGATTTATGAGATTTATGAGGAGCATTTACAACTAAGGATTTAATTTGTTATATGTAAATATACTCCTAGATCTAGAGAAAATGGAAGTACGACAATGGGAATTACTGGCACAGGACCGACAAACATGGAAGGCAATAGTAACCGCGGCAAAGACTTACGAAGAGTTGTAGCGCCATTGATGATGATGATGATGATGATGAAATATACTGTATAACTATTTATATGGATGTGAAATATGGATCATGAAGGATAATATGATGGACATTTTAGGATGTACGTTGAAAAATTAAGGCAAATATCGAGCACAAATTTAATAATCAAATCTTGCAAAAGTACTTTCGCTTTCTACAGCATCATCAGGGGCATCTGAAATAAGCCAAGAAAAGTTTTTTTAAATGAAGAAAATTAATAAACTTCGATAAAAAACTCGAAGTTAATGGATGATAAAAGTTTTTTGTGATTAACATTTTAGACTTACTTCGTCAAATTTGGGCTATCCAGCAAGCGCAGATGCCCCTGATGATGCTGTAGAAAGCGAAAGTACTTGGGCAAGATTTGATTATTAAATTTGTGCTCGAAATTTGCCTTCATTTTTTAAAGTTTATTTATTCGAGCATTCAACCTTATATCAATAATTTAGGATGTGACTCAGGTATATGATAAAGTATGGCAAAGACGCCATAACTATAAACTAAGACTACATTTACCAAAACAATACTCTCTAATAATTAACTCCTGCATCTTGGAAAGATATTTCAGAATTAAACAGGAAGAAACATACATGGAATTGACAGATATTACAGCAGGGCTGCCACAAAGAAGTGTCTTTACCTTTTGTATACGTGTTGTATTATTGTCCTAGAAAATATACAATTGCAACATTTACCGAAGATATTGCTATCATAGTAATGTGCAAAACCAGCAAGGAAGCGACAAAGAAATTACACAAATGTTAATCAAATATATACTCCAGGGAAAATAAGCAAAAAATAGACCATGTTCGTGACACTCAATAATCCAGGTCGCTGACAGCTTTTTTAGTTATTGTAGACCTCTAGGAAAAAAACCTACTTGTTTCTTGCCTTGAATCTGGAGCTGTTTTTTAATTATTGACAATTTAATGCAAAAAACGCGACTGTTTCTATGATTATTGATACTAGTATTAAAAAAAATAGATTTTTGGAAGAAAATTGTTTTGCACGAATTGTTTAAACAAACTAGACTATTTATTGATTAATTAATATATAAACAAATTACTAATTCCTAATGTACGTAGAAATTACATACAAATTAAAAAAAGATTGATCAAAATCCATTGAGTAGATCCGGAGATATAGAAAATTTTATTAGTTTGAAATTGCTTGTTCGGTATGGATTTGTAGGTTCTTCCTAGTCACCATTTGAACTACATTTTTGAAAATTCGCAGAGGGTCCTGTAAAGGTACAATGTTTGTGCAAATTTTTTAACAAAAAATACAAATCCCATTTCTTAACATGGCAAAAAATGAGGTTCCTTAATTATTATAATCAAATTAGCTGTGAATTATCATCTTTTCTTTAACTTGATCTACTACTTGTTGTAATTGGTCGTAAAACACTTCCCTTGTTGTTTGAGGCTTATTATTTTCTGGGCCGTATACTCCGATAATGTTCAGGTTTTCCTTCTCCATTCTTATCTTTGATGTTACTATTCTTTCTGATATGTATTGACACTCTTTGATGTAATTTTGATACCTTTGGTGTATTAGTAAGGCTACACCTTTGGCCCTGTTTTCTTTTGCTACTCCACTGTAGATTAGTATGTATTCACCAAATTTTGATTGACCTTTTCCTTTATTTTTTGTTTACTGTAGAGCACACATGTCTATTTCTTTCTCTTTCAATACTTTCTTGGGTTATTTCTTGGTCCCTTGAGTTGAGTGATCTGATATTCCAAGTAATTCTCATCTGGGTTTTGGATGTTTTTCGCTTGTCCTTATTTCTTGCCGTAGTCGTCTTCATAGTATCAATCCAGTTCCAAGACTGTACATTGTTTCTTTGAGCAGTATTTGATCTTACGATTGGTAGGTTGCTGAGCAATAAATATAAATAATTAAATTTCATATTCAAATACTGCAAAATATTTGGTTATTACTCTGAGCTCATGTAAAGAAGAAAAGAAAATAATAATTCTGATTGAAATACAAAAAAAATGTACTGGATGATTGACCAAAACTCTACGCTGTTTCTATATAATAAATTATTATTATATAAGCAAATACTGAAACAATTGTATTATTATAAAAACAGTATAAATATTTAGAAAGAAAATGGAAAATCAACAGAAAATATTTCTATTCATATAAAAATTTAATAAAATTA